ATGCATGCATGTATGCATACTTACATGCACACATACATACATACATACATCTACATACTTGGATACATGCATACACACAGGCAGGCAGGCAGGCAGGCAGACAGACAGACAGACGTACATACGCACATACATACATGCATACATACATCCATAGATGCCTACCTAAATACGTACATACGCACACACATACAACCCTACATGCATACATACATACATGCATGCATACAAACATGCATACGTACACATATTACACATGGATGTATAGACACATGCATGCATTCATACAAACATGTGCACTCCCATACACATACACACAGACAGACATCCGTACACACGCACGTCCACGCGTGCATACATTACAACCATCGGTACACATACATACATACGAACGCTCATATGTATATACACATGCATAAACTCATGCATGCGTACATGCGAACAACCATACATCTATCTATACATACCTACACAAATGTATACACGCATGTATGCATGCACACACGCAGGCATACACACACGCATACATACAGCCGTTCATACATACATACATACGTTCATGCGTGTATATATATATACATATATATACGCACAGGCAGACATACATACACATACACGTATACATAGACATGCAGACACACGCATGTACATACATACAGGCACGCATACATACATGCATACATGCATCATACATATGTGCACGCGTCCGCCTACACACAAACAAACATACATGCATGCAGACATTGAAACACACTCAGACACACGTACAAACATGAGTGAATCTATGTATACATTTACATTCACACACACATACATACCTACACACATGCAACTATCCATACATACATACATACATACATACATGCATACCGATTTACACCCCCTACATACATACGTACATACATACATGAATGCACGCTTACACCTAGATGCATACATACATACCTTGCGCCCAGAGCTGAACGGCTGGCGGCAAACTGTGTTTATCTCAGCATCGTCTAGCCTTTTCCGTCCCCAACGGGCCATGATGTTTCAACCCCACCAGCTCACCCTTCTAGGTGGGGACAGACCCCACGAAATGTCGCAGGTCTGGAATGTTGTTGCCTGTTGGGCGAGGCGGCCTGTGTCAGCGCTGCACTGGCCTCTGGGGGTAGCGTGTCCGTGGGCTCCGCGTCCAAGGCCGATGCATGGATTAGTGCGCGTGTCTCCGCCAGCGACGGGTCCCGTTTCCGTGCGGAATCGGCGCGCTCCGTCGCCAAATTAGGCAGCACTTGCATCGTGCTTGGGGTTGCCTTTCCCCGGTCCGTGGATCTGGCGCTCACGCGCCAGATTCACGGATCCGTAATACATGTCAGCGTGCGCCCGAATGCATGGTGTGAGCGGCGGGGGCACACGTGCCGTCACACGTTGCTGGCTCGCACTGCCGCAGGAGGCGTCCTCTGTGCCTGTGACGGCGAGGCCTCATCGACGCTCATGCGGTCTGGAGGAAGCGGCCGAGGCTTGCGTCAGACCTGCAGCAGCGTGCGCGACGCCGCGGTCCAGTATGCCGCATGAGCATCTGGGATCGCCCGGGGCTAGGACCGTCGCCCTGGCGCCAGCGGTCGCCGAACAGGGCCGCGGGCGAAGTCGCGGGCAGCACCCGCCTTGTCGAGGCCGCCGTCGCTATAGATCGCGCCGGGGAGCCGCTGCTCCTCGTGGGCCGAGCCCGCACTCGGGCTCGGCGCCCGTCGCCGCATCCGAATTCCTCGGCGTTGCTCGAGGGTGCGTTTGGGCGCGGCGGCGAGCGACGGAAGTGGGGGGCGGAGGAGCAACAGGGGCAGCCGGAGCAGCAGGGGCAGGGGCAGAAGGGTGAGGACGCAGCGGGGGAGGGAGAGGGGGAGGGGCCGGAGGAGGAGGATCAGGAACATGAGCAGGAGCAGGAGCAGGAGGAGGGTTACGTGCGAGGAGGGTGAGGAGGAGGGGGAGGGGCATCGGCAGGAGTGCGAGTGGGCGCCAGCGCACGCCTCCTCCCCCTCCCTCTCCTGCCTCCCTGCCTGCTCCCTCCTGCCCGCCCCCTCCCTCCTGCTCCCTCCCGCACCCTCCCTCCCCTCCCCCCCACGCCCCCGCGCGCGCGGGGTTGCGCGCCAGGGCGCGGAGGGGTATGGAGAAGGCGGCGACGACGACGACGAAGACGACGACGACGACGGGCAGCCACGACGACGCCGGCGACGCCGATGACGACGACGACGGCGACGGCGACGGCGACGGCGACGGCGACGGCGACGGTGAAGGCGACGGCGACGGCGGCGGCGACGACGGCGGTGGCGGCGGCGGCGACGACGAGACATGTCGACGAAAACGAAAACGACGACGACGCCGATCCCGACCACGATGACGGCCACGCACATTACGCCCTCGGCGGCGACGACGGCAGCGACGACGACCACGGCCACGCCAACGCCCACGACGACGACAACGACCACTGCGCCCGATCCTTTTCGTTTCTCGCTCTCCTCCGATCCGTTTCGAACTCCGATTCTCGATCCTGCCCGAACGCCTCGATCTTTCCCCTCGTCGAACTCCAATCCTCCTTGGCCCCCGAGCCGCCTCGATCGACGACGGGCTGAGGACGTGCAGATCCACTTCAAGGTGCCCGATCGACTGGCGGGTGCCATCATCGGCAAGGGCGGCGAGCAGCTCAAGCAGGATTCTCTTTCTTTCCGTATGATGCAGTTTTAGCCTGCGTGGACCCCAAGCGGTGTGTGTGTCTAGCAAAATGAATTATGCACTAGATGTGGTGAAATCTAGGTTGTGCACACCATGTTGTGTAATCAGGGTTCTGCATTATCTGTTGTGCAATTTATACTGTGCAATATGTGCTGTGTAATCTATGTCGTGCAGTATGCGGTGCAGTATCTGTGGTACACGCGATGTAGCATAATGTACGTTGTGCAACCCATTGTTGCCATCAAGGAGATACAATTCATGTTGTGCAGAATGTATGGTGCAATCTATGTTGCGCACTACGCGGTGCAACATCTGTTGTCAGAGGGTGCAATCTATGCGTTGCAACTTGTGCTGTGTGGTATGTGTGGTTCGATCTGTTCGATGCAGTCTGCGTGCAGCCTCCCCTGAGCACAGGCCCTCCCAGAGCACCAGCCAGAGCATCAGCAGGACCCAAAGAGAGACAGGGACGCTCTCCAAGCCAGGGCCCCGTGTGCGTGGGGGGCACCTGCCGTGCAGGTCTTGGCCTCACCGTCGCTCTTCGGGCTGTGCCTGCATGGAGGCGGCGGCGTGCGCACGTGCCTCGGACGGCCCTCCCCCCTCCCCCCCCCCGACATGCCAGCAGACCTGCCCGGACCCAAGGAGAAGCAGGGACGTTCTCCGAGCCGCGGTCCTGTGTGGGGGGGGCCGCCTGCGGTGCAGGTCTTGGCCTCACCGTCGCTGCGGCTGCGGTGCCCGGAGGCCGTGGCGTGCGCACGTGTCTCGGGCCGCTTTCGCCCCATCGGGTGCGCCTCCGCGCAGGCAGGTGCGCGCGCGGGGCCGCGGACCTCGCGGACGCCGACGCTCGACGCACGACAGGTGCATCTCGGCAGGGCCTGCAGGAGAGCCAGGCTGAAGCACAAATGCCCTCCTCCTCCTCCTCCTCCTCCTCCGCCCTCCTCCTCCTCCTCCTCCTCTCCTCCTCCTCCTCCTCCCCTCCTCCTCCCTCCTCCTCTCCTCCTCCTCCTCCTCCTCCTCCTCCTCCTCCTCCTCCTCCTCCTCCTCGTCCTCCTCCCTCCTCCCTCCTCCCGCCTCCCTCCTCCCTCCTCCCGCCTCCTCCTCCTCCTCCTCCTCCTCCTCCTCCTCCTCCTCCTCTCCTCCTCCTCCTCCTCCTCCTCCTCCTCTCCTCCTCCTCCTCCTCCCTCGTCCTCCTCCTCCCTCCCTCCCTCCTCCTCCTCCTCCTCCCTCCCCACCTCCCTCCTCCTCCTCCTCCTCCTCCTCCTCCTCCTCCTCCTCCTCCTCCTCGTCCTCGTCCTCGTCCTCGTCCTCGTCCTCCTCCTCCTTGGGCGAGCCGCAGGCGCAGGCAGGCGTGGGGCGTCGGGAGAGCCGCGGCGCGGCCCGTGCGCTGGCCCTGCCGGCCCACAGGGAGCCCAGCAGCAGGCAAGCGGCAGGGGAGCGGGATGGCCAGAAGGCACGGCGGGCAACAAGCATCTCATCGTTGTGGAGGACGATCAATGGAGGTGGATAGACCTCCTACCCAGACGCCTCGATTCAAAAATTAGCCGTTTTCGGTTCGCGAGGGGGCGTCGCGGCCGTCCTTTTTGCGGGTCCGGGTCCGTCGGTTTCGGTGCCAGGCCGTCTTCACTAAGGGGAGGTTTGCTAAGGGGAGCTTTGTCCACCGCCGAGATCAATGGAGAGGAGGCATGATGCCAAACAATCTCTAGATGTCTATTTCACGTGTGAAGCAGGTGTTATAGACATGTGAAAAAAACATGTTTAAAGACATGTATCAACCCAAGTATAGGACATGTATCCGACTTGTTAGCACATGTTCAACCCAAGTATAGGACTATTAGGGTGTCCATTGTGGTGGCATCCACAATCTTATCGGGACCTCGCAAAGGGGGGGCCACAGGGGGGGGTGAGATCGTTCTGTTGGCGCATCGAACCGCGGAAACACTATGCGGAATGAGGTCTCCGGCCACCGCCGGAACCCAAGGGGCGTCGACAATCGGGGCGCGCGGGGTCATCGTTTTTCGGAAATCCGATGCACCACCGGATCGAACTCACCCCCCCCCTCAGCGTCCCCACCCCACTTTGGTGGGCCCCGATCTTAGCTGCCGTGATACGCCCGTTTTGAAACGCCGCACGTGCCGTGTTCGAGACGTCCGCGTCAACGCGCTGCGCGTGAGCTCGACGTGGTGTGGCCCACGTTGTGGTGACGTATCGCGCCAAACGTACTTGTTCAATCTGCGTGTTGAGCTTCGTGTCAGCACGCTACGAGTTGCGTGTTGCGCATCGTGGCGGCGCATACAGCAATATGCACATTTACACGCATGAGCCTCCATCCTCCTCCCTTTCTCTTGACCATCTCCGAGGCGGGGCTTCATCTATAACGGCCGCCTCGGCGATCGATCTTCGAGGACCTCGGCGTGCGGTGGACATGAGTACACCCGAGTCCATTGGGGCCCAAGTATCTTGATATCCACCGGCTACTTACTGGGGCCCCAGGACGTAGGTTCTCCAGGCGGTGGGCATGGACACATCCCCGCCTCGCGCCATCCCCCCCCTGTGCTCTCCTCCCTGCCTCATCTTCCGTTCTTCCCGTGCTTCCTCAGCGTCTTCTTCCTTCCTCCTGCACCTTCGTCTCCCTTCTCCTGCCGGCCGACCTTCTCATCCTGTTCACGCGCAGGTGGGGCTCCTGTGGACCTCTGTCCCTGCGCCGAGGTCACCGACGAAGCGAGCGAACCGTTTCGAGCCACACGCCGCTCCGCTCTGCCTCTTCGGGGGCGGCCCCGCCGTCCGACGAGGGTCGCAGCCGCAGAAACGAGAGCCGCTCCCCAGACCTCGACGCAAGCCGGCTGCAGGGCGGGGGCGGGGGGACGGGCCTCCTCTCGTGCTGCAGGACAGCCGGCCCCGAACCCGTCCCCCCGGAGTCGGGTTCGGAGGTCGCCGCGGCGAACTGCGGCGTCCACGCATCGGGGCACAGCTCCCTGTGTCAAGGCGCGGCATGCCCCCCCCCAGCCCCCCCCCCCCCCGTTCTGTGACGCAGACGTGGCGCATAGTGAACAGTTGACCAGCTGGCGACAGGGAGCGGGGGAATGTGCGCTCATCACGGGCAGTCCTGTCGTCAGGATCGGGTGGCGCGGTCCAGGATACGGATCTATTGGGAGGCCCTGCTGATCGCCATCCCTGGCTCAATTCCTTTTTTCTTGGTCAGGGGCCGACTCCCACGCAACCGACTCGTAGAGCTTCCCTAAGAGCGTTAGCGGTGAAGCTAGAAGAGTAATTCCGGCGCGGTGGGGGGCTAGTTGGCAAAAAACATCTCGGCAGAAGTTTTGCATCATTCTGCTCGATGGAAGTTCGACTTCTCAACATTCGATAATCCGTTAGAGCTCTAGTATTTTTGTCCCTCCCTCTTCGATCTGATTCCCGCTCGCCACCTTAATCTCAGGTCGATCGGGTACCTATTACTGCCAAAAAGCGCGGCCGGGCACGCCTGCCTCCTCCCTCCTCCCTCCTCCCTCCTCCTCCTCCCTCCTCCCTCCCTCCTCCCTCCCTCCCTCCTCCTCCTCCTCCTCCTCCTCCTCCTCCTCCTCCTCCTCCTCCTCCTCCTCCTCCTCCTCCTCCTCCTCCCTCGTTGTGGAGGACGATCAATGGAGGTCGATCGCGCACCTCTTACTGCCAAAAAGCGCGGCCGGGCACGCCTGCCCGGCGTGTCGCGCCGCAGGCCCCAGCCCGCCGCGCCTCGGGGCGCGCCCCGGGGCGCCCGGGGCGGGCCCACGGCGCGCCGGAGCACGGGGGGCGCCGCTCTCTCCGCGCGTCTGGCTCTGGCCCTGCTCGGAAGCCGGGCAAGGGCTGCTAAATCCGTGGCTGCTAAAATCGACCTCCGGGAAGTTGTCTTCGTCCTTCCGGGAAGAAGTCCGTTGACTGTTTCGCGTGCCACGCCTCATTCCGGGAAGTTGTTTTTTCATTTCGGGAGGGCCGTTTTAGCAGCCACGGTTTTAGCAGCCCTCGCCCAGCTTCCTACCTGCTCCGGAGGGCCCCCCTGGGCTCCGTGCGGATCGAAGGTGGGAGGACCTCCTGCCCTGACGCGTCGATGAGCGAATTGGCCGTCTTTGGCTCGCGAGAGGGCGTCGCGGCCGTCCTTTTTGCAGGTCCAGGTCCTTCGGTTTCGGTCCTATAGGCCGTTTTCACGAAGGGGAGGTTTGTCCACCGCCGAGACGGGGGCAGAGCAGGGGATAGCCCAAAAGCCCCCGTGGAGCCATGACCCGGTTTTCTGGGGGGCCCTTGGGCGAGACGCTGGCCTCGCCCCGGTGAGCAGGCGCCAGCGGTCCAAGAGCCTTGCCCAGGATCCTGCCTCCTGCGGGGCGCAGCAACACACGGTCGGCGGCGCCTGCAGGTCCTATGGCGTGTTTCGCCGGGGCCGCCGCCGCGGCACGCGGAGCAATAGTGCCTCACCCTGAGCTCGGCCGCCTGGATGGCACCACCCACCAAACCACCCAACCCAACCCGAAGGCCTCAATCTGCCATCCATTTCCAGTGTGGGGGGGGGTCGGGGAACATTGAAAAAAGCATATGGAACCCGTACTCCCCCCAATCCGAAATTCGGGTCAAATTCGGGTCTTCGGGTTGGGTTGGGGTGCACTGGTCACGATGGGGTCGGAGGAGATGGGGTCGGAGGAGCGCGCCGCATTACCGATGCATCGGCGATGCGGCTCGATGCGGTGCCCGTGTTTCTCCACGCCGACGTCGCCGATGCGTCGCCGACGTCGGCGATGCGTCTCCGGTGCATCGCCGGTGCATCGCCGATGCATGGCCTGCACCTGAGCGTCAGGCGTTGCAGCTTTTTCACACCGGGTCTTCTCGTCCAGTCTTGGGGCCGGGGACCCTCACAGATCGACGCAGCTCGAAAGTTGTCACAAAAAGAAGTGGCTAGGCCTCCTGTCTCGACTTTGTGCGATGTTGCATGTTTTTTTGTTGCAACTTCGGATCTCAGGGGGGGAGGAGGAGGAGGAAGAGAAGGAGGAGGAGGAGGAGGAGGAGGAGGAGGACCAGGATAAACCTAAGACGCATCAGCGATGTTGCAATAAGCCCTTACTCCAAGCTCCCTTTTCATAGGGCCCTACAGGAATTGTTCTGAATGCGGGAAATGCCACGTTGGAAAACGAACGTCAGAGAACCCTCAATCTTACCCCAACACCATTCCTGGGACGTCAGCGTCGCGAGTCAACCTGACTGTTGCGTCCTGAAACCTCAACCGTGTCAGAAATCCAGTTCTGTGGCTTCCACACCGCGAATCAAGATTATTGCTGCGTTCTGACAGTCCTATATCTTGCCAGAACACCATTCCTGGGACTCCGCACACGTTAAGCCATGAACCTGTTGCAAACTTTGAAGACCGATCATAATGAGCAAGGCGTTGAGGCGAGAGCCACATTTTGAAACAGGACCGCCCTTCATCCGTGAAACTGCTGTAAACTTTTATGGCGGATGCGCGCGGCGCCAAGGCGAGAGCCACGTTTTGCCAACGGAAGTTGTTGTAAGTTGCAAGCTCCAGGATCAGAACTGCTGATGAAGTCTCAGGCGACCCCCCAAGCCCGCCCTACTGACACGTCTGGGGGTGCGACCAGAAGAAGTTGTTGATAAGGCAGAGGGATGGGGGAGGAGGAGGAGGAGGAGGAGGAGGAGGAGGAGGAGGAGGAGGAGGAGGAGGAGGACCGACCATAGCTGAGGCACAGCAGGCTCCCCGAGCCCCGCAGCCAGTGGCATGCAGGGCCTGCGGGGACGTCCGCTGGCGCACGCCCGGGGCGCCCGGCGGCGCGCCGCGCCGCAGCCGGCGGCGCGCCCGCGGCGGCGCGAGCGGGGCGTCGCGCCCCCGTGGCCGGGGCGCGCGGGGGAGCGGCCGCGCCTCGGGGCTCAAGCGACGGGGGTCGGTCCATGCAGTGGCGGGGCGCGATGCGCCCGCCAACTGTGGAGCACTCCATCGTTGAGTCGCCACTTGCCCAGGCCACCAGGTCCCCAAGGACTCCCACAGGGCGCTGGGTTCCCAACGAGTGCCCTACTTTAGTCGTAAACGGCTCCCCCCCCGAAAAAGAGACGGGGGTCCATGCAAACGGGGGCCAGCCAGAGCGCCCGATCTTGCAGGAGCCTGCAGGGCCAGGGTCGCATTGACCAGGGTCTGGGTGCAGGGTCCTGCAGGATCTTGCAAAGGTCCTTGGCGCTGACCCCCGGGTTTGGGGTGCAGGATTTGTTGCAGGACCTCGCAGGGTTCTGCAAGGCCTGACTGACCCGGGTGTGGGTTGACCCGGGTCAGAAGATCCCCGACGCGCGAGAGCGCTAGATGGCCATCGCCCCCCCCCGCGGCCCCTCGCGACGCGCGAGGCGGTGGCGAGCACTGCGGGGGGCGGCAGGTTTCGTGCCGATGATTCCGACTCGGTTCGGTTCGGCTTCGCTCGGTTCGGAGTCCGATTCGATTCGGCTGTGGGTTCCGATGTGGGCCCCATGTGGGCGTCGGTTTTGCAGTGGAGCCCTCAGCAGCCTGCCGATTTCGGCAGATTCGACTTTTCCCAACTTGGCTGCCTCCGCCGATCCGATTCACTTCGGTTGCCGATCGAACTTGTCGATTCAATTCTGGGCTCTCCTGGGGCTGGGTCGGGGGTCCTTTCCGTTTTTTCTTGCGTGTTGCTCTATCGGCCCGCATGTGTGCGACGTGCCTGAGACTTTTTGCGCGCCGTGGTCTCCACCAACTGCGCACCAGAACCAACTGAGCACCGCGGCGCGACGGCCCTCGCATCGTGAAAAAATATGCTTTTGTCGCGGACCCGTCGAGCGCGCAGGTCGGTCGAGCAGCCTAGGGCTCCCCGGGAGCTCCCGAGCGCTCTCCAGGTGCTCCCAGAGGTCACCGGGAGCTCCCAGGAGTTCCCCAGGTGCTCCCAGGAAGCGGAAGTACAGGGCGGCCGCGGGATGGGGAGGCGGCAAGGGTGGTCAGCGCAGACCAGGCTGGTCCGCGTCGTGACGAAAGCCCGACGGAAGGATTTTCAGTGTGTTACGCCTCCTGGGGCCCTCGCCAGGCCGCAGAGCCGTCCAGCAAAAACCGCCCTGGATGACGAGCCCGTCCTGGGGAAGCAGTGAGACCTCTGGGGGGCCATGCTGCGGGCAAAATCACGACGTCGGGGGGTTGGGGGGGAAACCCTCTCGGAAGGCAGGGGGGCCTCCCGGAGGTCCCGCTCGCCTCCCGAGAGGCCTCCCTCGCAGAGGCCATCCCCCACTGCCTCCCAGGAGGCCTCCTGCGGAGCCCCCCGCGCCGCCCGAGAGTCAGCCTCCCCCCCCCTCCCCCTCTGGAGAGACCGCCCCCCCTCCAACCCCCCACTGCCTCCCAAGAGGCCTCCTGCGGAGCCCCCCGCGCCGCCCGAGTCGGCCTCCCCCCCGAGGGCCCCTCTGGAAAGGCCGCCGGGCGCGAAGTGCGTTAGAAGCTGGGCGGGCGAGAGCCTCTGGGGGGTGCCGCCTCTGCCCCCGACCAAGGGCCACCGACGTGGAGCCCCCGGAGGTTTTGGCCCCCCGCCCCGCGGGGCTCTCCTCCTCCTCCTCCTCCTCCTCCTCCTCCTCCTCCTCCTCCTCCTCCCCCTCCTTCTCCTCCTCCTCCTGCTCCTCCTCCTCCTCCACCGCCCCCCGCCCCTCTTCGTCCCGAGCCGTCCTCTGACGGCCCAGTGGCCCCATGGGAGGTTCAGAAAGTCAGAGGAGGTCGAGTGGAGACGGCGGCAGTCCGCCTTCGGGGGGGGGGGGAGGGCGGGCGCCTCGTCCCCACGGCCGGCCGCAGCGCCGAGAGCTGGCGCGCTTGCCAGAGGGTTCCGGGGACCGATGTGGAGCTGCCGTCTCAGCTCGCCCTCCTCCTCCTGATCTTCATGGCCCACACTGTCCGCCCACGTGGCCTCTCTGCGGCCCCGCCGGGTTCTCCGATGGCCTCGGTCTTTCGCTCGTCGGCCTCCTCGGCTCGGCCGGCGCGTGCTCGGCTGTGCTGCCTCGGTGGGCGGGCGGCCCTGGGGAGGAAGGCAGGAGTCGGCGGTTCGAGTAGGGGATCGGCTACAGAATTGGTTTGCCCCAGAATTGATGTTTCTTGTCGGATCCACGTGCAATTCGTAGAACTTTCGCAGATGTGCGAATAGTTGACGTATGTTTGTTGAAGGTACTTTGAAAACGGCCACACCTTCGACTTTGGAGCTGCCCGGACACGTTTAAGGCGACTGCGCGCGGCGCTGAGCTATACACGTAGTTTGAAAACGATTGGTCTTCCACTTCTGAGTTCTTGTTTATCAGGACAGTACGTTGCAAGGAGGTCTTAAGCGAAACGCGACATGGGGTCTTAAGAGGGGCCTTTCCTATGGGGTCCACAAGCGGAGCTACAGTAGTTTGTTGCGTGATCTACCCGCTTAACGTTTGTGCGCGACTGTGACGAAGTGCAGCGCCTGTGGATGCAAGCACTGCATCAGCCAGATCCATTACGTTCGAGAACATGATTGCGAAACTTCCTGCCGAAAAGTTCTGCCAACGTTTCCTAATTTACTTGCAGGAAAGCTTGCTAGGTTTAGTAAGCACGTTCGCCCCTCCAGCGTAAACAGCAAATGACTTAAGCTTGTTTGAAGAAACTTGCGATCACCTGGCCCTGCTTTCATACATCATGTTTTCCATGATCAGATTACGGGCTGTATTTCATGAACAAGCAAAGTTTTGGAACATGTGCATGCCAGCTATTGTCAATAGGTGTTTGCAAACAGCGAGGTAACAGTTTATCGCATCACATCAGTGTTACATTCGCGCGCACGAGCTATTGCATACCAAGCGTTGCGCAGGGTATTGCAACATGTATGTGTGGAGTACGAGCTAGTGCATGCACTATTGCGCACATGCTCATGACCCTCTGTTCAAAAGACCCCATAGCCCGAGTCCGAACTTTGAAGGACGAGGGATGGAGGATGAGGAGGAGAAGGAGGAAGAGAGAGGCAAGAGGTGGTGGAGAAGGAGCAGGAGACGGACTGGACGAGGAGGAGGAGGAGGAGGAGGAGGAGGAGGAGGAAGAGCAGGACACGGGGAGGAGAAGGAGGAGGAGGAGGAGGAGCGAGAAGGAGGAGGATGAGGTCGAAGAGGACGGGGAGGAGGAGGACGAGGTGGAGGAGGCCGAGGGAACAGTGGGGAGGAGGAGGACGAGGATGAGGATGAGGAGGAGGAGTAATTAGGAGGAGGAGGACCAGTGGAAACCCAAGAGTCATCAACGATGCTGGAATTAGCCCTCCCTCCAAGCTCCATCTTCATAGGCCCCTGCAACTGTTCATTTCCATGAGGGAACTGCCTCGTTGGAAGACAACAGTTTGAAGATCTTGAAGCGTGCCAAAACATGGTTCTCGGGAATTCAACGCCACGTATCAACCTGACTGCTGCGTCTTGACGATCCACAGTCGTGTCAGAACGCCGTTGTTGGGACTTCAACACAACGAATCAACATAACTGTTGCGCCCGCATAATCATGAACCCATCAAAAACACAATTTCTGGTACGTTGACCATGGGAATCCTTGAACATCTGGCAAATTAGCAAGCAACGGATTTGCGCGGCTCTAAGCCGAGAGCCGCATTCCGAGAAGGATCCGCCCTCAATCCATGAAACTCTTGCACATGTCTTAAACGAATGTGCGCGGCGCTGAGGCGAGAGCTACAGTTTGAAAACGACTCGCCCTCAATCCGTGAAGTCTTGCAACTTTTCAAGACGACTGTGCGCGTCGCTGAGGCGAGAGCCACATGTTGAAAACCATCCGCCCTGAATCCGCGAAACTCCTGCAATTTTTTAAGACGAATGTGCGCGGCGTTGAGGCGAGAGCCACATGTTAAAAACCACCCGCCCTCAATCCGCGAACCTCTTGCAATGGTACGAATGTGCGCGGCGCTCAGGCGAGAGCCACGTTTTGAAAATCACCCGCCCTCAATCTGTGAACCTCGTGCAATGTTTTAAGACGAATGTGCGCGGCGCTACGGCGAGAGCCACATTTTGAAAGCGGCCCGCCCTCCATCTGTGAAGCTGCTGTCATTTTGTAAGCTTCAGAATCATAAATGGTGAGGAAGTCTCAGGCGAAAAGCCCGGCCCGCCCTTAAAAGTGGCCTCGGGGTGCGACAGGGAAGATGTAGCTATAAGGAGAAGGAATGTAATTTGGAGGAGGAGGAATAGGAGGAGAAGGAAGAGGAGATGGAGGAGGAGGAGAAGGAGGAGGAGGAGGAGGAGGGGGAGCAGCAGGAACCGGTGGGGAGGAGGAGGGAGAGGAAACGGGGAGGAGGAGGAGGAGGAGGAGGAGGAGGAGGAGGAGGAAGAGGAGGAGGACGTCTCCAGAGGCCCCTTGAGGCTCCCGCAGGTCCCTGCAGGGGGGCGAGGGGGGGGGGCCTGGGCCGAGGTCACCATGACGTCGCGCGAGGGCGGCTCGGGCCGCTTCGCCATCCTCCAGGGCACCTACGAGGCCTGCATGGCGGCGGAGCAGGAGCCGCCGCTCTCTTGAGCCCTTGGGGCCGAGGCCGCTCCTGCCCCGTGGGGGGGCGCCGATCTCCAGGCCTCTCGACGCGAGGCCTGGGAAACCCGGGCGAACTGGCCCTGCAAGCAGCAGGTCGCGATGGGAGGTCTGTGGGCGTCTCCGCCCTCATAAGGTTCCCCGTCGGGCCCCGGGGCCGTCGACCAACGAGTGGGATGAACGGCGGGGCCCGGGGACGGGGTCGGGACTTCTGGGGACCCCGCCGGGCACAAATCAAGACATCAGATCTCTAGGACGGAGCCTACGGTCAGGACCGTTGGCTCCACGTGTCGCGCCGCCAATTCTTGCCCACCACGCCTCGGCGCGACACGCGAAACACGTCCGCGGTTCCCCAAGCGTCAACGTCCCGAGTTCTGAGCCACCCGCAGAGCGGAGCGACACGCTATCAGCTGGCAGGGCATGGCGCGTCGCCGGGGCCGCCGCCGCGACACGCTCACGCAAAAGTTGCTGACCGTAATCAGAGATGCGCCCGCTTGGAGTTGCGCGGCCGCAGGCGGAGGTTAACGCTCGTCACGCTTCGCGCCCGACGCTGCCTGGCGCCAGGTCGATCCATAGGGCGAGCGGGCCGGCTGACGTGCACGTTGTGGACGTGGGAACAATTGTCTCAGCGCGGGCCCTGCGCTCTTTTCCAGGCACTTTCTCTCCAGGGGCAAATCCCAGATCTCCGTCGTCACGAGCGGTATTCCCCAAACAGTGCTTGCTCTTAGGTGTAATTATTAATGGGCCAAGGAGCTGTTTCTGGGTGTTTGTTCAACGACGGTGTGCTCGCCGTCGCCACCTCGACGTCGCCCGTAGTCGGGGCCTGGGTGTTGGTCTTGCGGCTATGTTCTCGCCGTCGCCGCCGCTTCGCCGCCGGTCGTCTGGGCCTGCACGTCGGGCCCACCGCCTTGTGGTTGCCGTCGCCGCCCCGTCGCCGCGTTGTCGCTGCGCGCAGCCTCGTGGCCGCATTGTTCTGCATTGCTTTGTATTGCAGCGCATTGCTTTGCATTGCTTTGCATTGCTTTCGGCTACTCTGCACTACTTTGCGCTATTTTGCATTGCTTCGAATTGGTTTACTTTGTTCCCAACCATCCTGTGGTGTTGGGTCCTCGTTTTGAAGAGACGGTGCCCCGCGTCCTTATCCTCCTCCTCTCCTCCTCCTCCCCCTCCTCCTCCCTCCTCCTCCCTCTCCTCCCTCCTCCCTGCGTTTCACCCACCCATTACACCGCTTCGTGGCTCCATAGGGAGCTCCACCGAAGGCCCAAGCGGCAGGGTCCGCATGCAGTTCCACCTCCATTTCGGCGCACCCCTCACACGTTTCGTGGTCCCATAAGGTGCTCCACCGAAGGCCCCAGTGGCAGGGTCCGCATGCAGTTCCACCTCCATTTCGGCGCACCCCTCACACGTTTCGTGGCCCCATAGGGTGCTCCGCCGAAGGCCCCAGTGGCAGGGTCCGCATGCAGTTCCACTTCCATTTCGGCGCACCCCTCACACGTTTCGTGGCCCATAGGGTGCTCCACCGAAGGCCCCAGTGGCAGGGTCCGCATGCAGTTCCACCTCCATTTCGGCGCACCCCTCACACGTTTCGTGGCCCCATAGGGTGCTCCACCGAAGGCCCCAGTGGCAGGGTCCGCATGCAGTTCCACCTCCATTTCGGCGCACCCCTCACACGTTCGTGCCCCCTCCACCGAAGGCCCCAGTGGCAGGGTCCGCATGCAGTTCCACCTCCATTTCGGCGCACCCCTCACACGTTTCGTGGCCCCATAGGGTGCTCCGCCGAAGGCCCCAGCGGCAGGGTCCGCATGCAGTTCCACCTCCATTTCGGCGCACCCCTCACACGTTTCGTGGCCCCATAGGGTGCTCCACCGAAGGCCCCAGTGGCAGGGTCCGCATGCAGTTCCACCTCCATTTCGGCGCACCCCTCACACGTTTCGTGGCCCCATAGGGTGCTCCGCCGAAGGCCCCAGTGGCAGGGTCCGCATGCAGTTCCACCTCCATTTCGGCGCACCCCATCACACGTTTCGTGGCCCCATAGGGAGCTCCACCGAAGGCCCCAGCGGCAGGGTCCGCATGCAGTTTCACATCCATTTCGGCACACCCCTCACACGTTTCGTGGTCCCATAGGGTGCTCCACCGAAGGCCCCAGGGGCAGGGTCCGCATGCAGTTCCACTTCCATTTCGGCGCACCCCTCACACGTTTCGTGGCCCCATTGGGTGTTCCGCCGCGCACCTCTCACACGTTTCGTGGCCCCATAGGGTGCTCCGCGGAAGGCCCCAGTGGCATGGTCCGCAGGCAGTTCCATCCCCATTTCTTCGCACCCCTCACCACACGTTTCGTGGCCCTATAGGGTGCTCCACCGAAGGCCCCAGTGGCAGGGTCCGCATGCAGTTCCACCTCCATCTCCGCGCACCTCTCGCACGTTCCGCGGCCCCATAGGGTGCTCCACCCAAGGCCCCCGTGGCAGGTCCGCATGCATTCCCCCCTCCATGTCGGCGCACCCCTCACACGTTTCGTGGCCCCATGGAGTGTTCCACTCAGGGCCCCATTGGCAGGTTCCGCATGCAGTTCCCTCTCCATTTCGGCACACCGTTTCCACGTTTCGCGGCCACCAAAGGCCCTGGTGGCAGCGCCCGCACCTGGTTCCACCCTGCATTTCCGCGCACCCCTCAAACGTTTCGTGGCCTCAAATGGGGCTGCAACGACGGTTCCGGTGGCAGCGTCCGCATGGCGTACCCGTGCCAATTTTGGCACCCCCGTCACACGCGTCGTGGCCCCAGAGGGAGGTTCACCGAGGACGATACCCACACTTGCGTTACACACAGCTGTACATGGTTGGGTCCTTCGCCGGAATATTTTTTTTGCTTTGATTTGTGCTGCCCTGCATTGATTTGCATTGCTTTGCATTGCTTTCCTATCCTACGCATTGGTTTTCGTTGACTCTCGTCGCCACATTATGTTGCGTCGCTTTGCTTTGCAACGTATTGCGTTGTGTTACTTTGCGTTGCTTTGCGCTACTGTGCTTTGCGTTGCATTGTTTTGCACTGCTTTTTGTTTGCGTTGCGCTGCGCTGCTACGCATTGATTGGCATTGCATAGCATGATTTTCTCCCTGTGCTGATTGTCATCATTGCTTCGGATGACTTCACGTTGTTTCCCATTGCAACGCATTGCTTTGCACTGCCTGGCGTTACTCCGCATTGCGTTGCGCTACTTTGCAGCACATCACACCCATCTGCATTGCTTTCGTTGCGTTGCTCTGCGCTGCCCCGCACTGCTTTAGATCGCTTGTTTCCCCTAGCAGTGCTTCTGCTCAGGGTTTCTCTCTCCTTGTCTAAGGCAATGGACCTACGCTCTCGCCGTCGCCGCCCCGCCGCCCCCTCCTCGCCGCCGGTCGCCTGGGCCCGAGCGTCGGTCTGGCGGCCATGTTCTCGCCGCCGCCTCCCCGTCGCCGCATTGCTTCGCTTTGCTTCGCACCGCTTTGCAGTGCGCTGCGCCACGTAGGTGGCACCACACGGATCGAGCCACACAGCTTGCACCGCATGGACTGGGCCGTCTGGATTGCACCACATTGATTCAACCGCCTAGATAGCACCGCATAGATTGCAAGATAATTATGTTGGGAGTCCACTCGGGCTACCATATATATATATAAATATGCATAGAAACAACAACAAGTGAGAGATATATGTATATCCATATTTACATGTACATATACACATTCACATAGAGAATGAGAGAGATGGGGGGAGAGAGAGAGAGAGAGAGAGATACATACATATATATAGGGAGAGAGAAATAGGGAGAGAGAAAGTGAGGGAGGGAAGGAGAGAAAGAGAGAGAGAGAGAGAAAGAGAGAGAGAGAGAGTGAGAGATAACGCGCGACCTCAGACATGCTCCAGCGCCGTCAAAAATGAAGACGGCAGGTTTATGACAGTTTTCGGCCTCCCAAGGCCTCGCTGTCAAACGATTCGGAGTGAGAATCTGGCCCTGGCAAAGGGGTTGGGATTTTTGTTTCGTGAAACGTGTGCTCAACAAATCAAGACATCGGATGCGTCGGACGGGTGCCTATCTGAAGTTTCTTAGCCCCCCGAGGCTCGTTTAGGGCCTTCGGGGGCCCTCAGATAAACGGACCGTGTCGCAGGACCCGCCCAAGGGGATGCAATTGCGAGCAGAGAGGGGCCCACGTCATGCAAAAACGTGACGTTGGACATCTGGGAAAGGCCTCTATGCTTCCCCAACATCGGGCCAGAGCACGCAGTTCGGATAATCTCGTTG